ATACTATACTATGACCTTTTTCGACATACTATACTATGACTTTTTTCGACATACTGTGTTAGAAAAATGTCATTGTATAGTACTTCATAAAAAAGTCATAGTATGTTTTGAAAAATGGCATAGTATAGTATGTTATAAAAATATCATAGTATAGTACGTCAAACAAAATATAAAAAAATAGTGTCTTCTGTCATAAAAACTCATATTATATATGTCATAAAGAATTGTCAAAATAAATAGTAAAATATTCCTGAAAAAGTGACGGTCTTGTATGAAAAAAAGTCACAGTACAGTTTGTAATAAAAAATATCATATCTTTCATAAAAAGATCTGTATACTATGTCATGAAGAAATGGTCACAAAAAAGTTTAATTAAATTAAATTGTACTTCAGTATTCCTGTATATCGAGCCTCTTGCTTTTCTTACACCAAAACTCGACTTAATTTTTCTCTTCTACCTCTCCTCGTTAACGCGCTGCCATGTTCTTCTAGGCGGGCCTGAGGAGTATAGATGATGAGGTTGCTCCAGAGATGCACAGGGCCATTTCTGGAGACCTGCAGAATGAGGAAGAGATGGACAAAGCTATGGAGGAAGCTGGGGAAGAAGGCATCTACCAGGTGAGGAAAACTGTCTCCAACTTGGGGGAACAGTTCTACAGTACATGAAAAATACTGTGTATTTGGAGTGACTGGTCAATTCAGTTATCTGTGTGTGCTTGTCTTACTCTATATTTCCAGCGTACACACGGCCTGTTTGGTAACCGGGTGGACTCATTCTCTGGTGAGCCTGTCGACGCTCAGTCCCAGCAGATGACCAACCAGCGGCCCCTCAAGTTCTCTGAGAGCCAGCCTGAGTCTCCACCAAACTCCGCTGCCTGGATGCCCACTACTGAATTTTTCCCCACAGCCGCACCAAAAAGCAACACTAACAACAACGCCTTTGCAGAGTGAGTATCAAACACACACACAGACTAAATGACATATGCTCTGAGTAAACATGTCCGATGTGTGACAACTCTTGTTGTCTTTCAGATATTCATTTGATAGAGAAGGCAGTCCCGAAGAGTTTTACAATCTCAGTGAGGATGCAGAGCCAGGTATTTCAAAGCGCTTAACAGATGACCGACAATCTAATAATACATAATATATCAGTATAAACAGTATGATTTATTAGTATTTGAGACAAATGCACACAAAAAATATGAATCCCATGAAGGGCAAGCAACATGTTCTATGTTGACCAGGCCCCATTGCACTTTTTGCTCAAAGAATTTAAACATTTTATCTTAATACACATCAAATAACACATTTTACATTGTTGTTTATCCACTGCCAATTCTAGAGACACAAATAATGTTCATATAAAATCTGGTAAAGAAGTAGGTACCGTGCAGATTGATAGAGATGAATTTTTCTTTATTCTCACTTGTCAAGGTAACCTGCGCTCCTGGAACTTCACAGTGAGAACAGACAAAACGCAGGTAATATTTATTTATCTAAGGATGACTCATCCAGTGTAAATGATGATGAACAGCTCATATAGACAAAGTATGGATGCATATCTTTTCTTTGCAGTTCCCTTATGAGCCTAACTATGGTGACAGTCAGAGTGAGAGCTCCAGTACTGCAGCTGACCAGCTCGTCCAGGAGGTACGTGAGAAGGGATCTCTGACTCTACGTAGGGGATCATAAACATAACTCCTTTAATAGCACCAGTCTAACTTCCCAGTCCTGGATTGAACCACAATTATCTCTCCGTTTTAATTTGTTTGAGAACTCCGTACACTTTACACAAACCAAATAATTGTCAAATTCAGTTTTTTAGTTGACCACATCAGTCGTCAAGAGTAAGGAAATATTTGTTAAAAACTATAAATCAAAGCTGAGCTGTTACGTGTTATCGAAATATATTGGAAATATGGCTGTATTTTCCTTTGAGAAAGATACTCACTGTGCTTCATGGATGTTGTTCTGTAGCTGAGCCTGCATGCCTTCAATATAATAACTAATAACTTTATTCAAAATGTCAGGTATGAAATTGTATGATAACAATGGAAACATGAAAATGTCACCGTATGTAAGCAAGGACACTGCATGTTGTTTTCCTCACCAGGCTCTTGTAAAGGGCGGTCTGGCCTCCCTGGCCAAAGACCCTGGCTTTGTCTCTGCGACTAAGGAGGAGATGGCTGATGCCATGCACACGACTGTGGATGAGATGGAAAGCGTGGCTCAGGGCATTCTCAGCGAACGTGCCGGCAGCGTCGCCTCCGTCAAAAAGAGACGTCCCATCCCGGTCCCTCCTCCTGCCGTGGCAGCACGGGTAACGGGCCAGCCGGATCCAGCTGCGAGGAGAAAGAGACGTCCAATCCCCCTGATTCCCTCCGTACAGGAGGCAGACTCTAAAGTTTAGAAGATGCCACTTGAGTTTATGTGGTTATCTCGTGATTTATACACCTGCAGGTAGCTCCACCTCACCTCACTTTACTAAGCTTGTTTCTCTTTTAACAGTCTGTATCTACTAGCCTGGCTCAGGGCCTAAAGGCAGGTTGGCTCAGGTTTAACATATTGTTAAGTGTGTTTGAAACTTAACTAAAGAGAAACATATCTGATGTTGAAACATCGTAATTTTCAGATTTATTGAAAGCACTGTAATAAAAATACTAACTTATTTCAGAGCAAACAGATTGACGCACTTCTTTCTTTGTAGCGTTTGTTGACGTTATCCATTCCATGTGACTTTTGGGACAACCATGTGAGTGAGCAGAGCGTCTTACTGTAGGCTCACTGAAGACTCAAACAACTCTCTGAATGAAGGGAGCAGGCGGCCGACAGTGGGACAGTGGGAAAGGACTCCACTTTGGGGAAACGGAGACTTGAGTTTCTGTGCATGCAGGCCCAGAAAAGTTCACTGAATGAGCAGTTCGTGCTTTTAAATGGGCACGGTGCTACAATGACAATGCAGGTTAAACCATTTTTTACTTTGTTGGCAAAGCACCGTCCTCTGATCAGTTATGACTTTCTCTTAATACTGAGGTTTACCGAGTTTTCTCCTGCTCACCACTGTTCTTTTATGCAGTTGGTATCAGCAGATTTTATAGAGGAAACTTTTTTTTCTATGGATATAGAGGTACATTTAATCTCTAAAATAATTATCCAAAGATTTAGCTGTATTAAAAGTATTTGTTGATTTTAAAGCGGTGTAGTCAAAGCAGTGCATGTGATTTTGTTCCAAGTCACTTTAAGTCGTTCTACTGCTACAGGTTGTGTTTTTGATTTACCTTTGATACCTTTGAGTTAGGGACACTTAGTTTGATCCATACAGATGATGTATCTTCATACCTGGAGTATGTGGATTTAGATTTACACCTCATGACAATTATTATTCATAATTGCACTTGATTGATGTTTTTTTGCCTAATTCACACAGTGACTACAGGACTTTTTTTCTAACATTATCATCTGACCAGCCTGTGTGTTGCTGTTACACATACACGATGTTGGAGACAGTTTGAGTGAACTTTGATGCTCAACCTCAGGTCTCCTTTACTTCTGGGTCTATGTCATTATGGTTGATGTTACATTGGCAAAATAAATAAATCATCCAAACATTCATTTCTGCGTTAGTTTTCTTTCTGCAAACAAACCAAAGATGGACATCTGAGCTCTCAGGCTGTTAAAGGAGAGGGAAGAAAGCCCCCCACAACAGGTTAGTTTCATTCATTAAATAAGAAAACTAATGACAGAAATGCCTTGAAATGAGAGCGTTGGTGCAGACAGAGCCTTGATGAAAAGATAGGTGTATGTTTTGCATGCTTCGCCCAGCAGAAGTCAGTGTGAAAACTGAGACCCTCTAAAAATAGTCTCGCCAAGCACAGACTCCCCTTATGGAATGGAAACTAATGCAGTAAGATGCATTCTGCACCACAGCTTCAAATTATTGGAAGGAAGAAATGGATGCACAAAATGAAAAGGGGCTTAAATAATTAAAATTGTATTTATTGATGTAAGCCAATCTATGAAGCAGACCTGACAGAATTGTCTCTTTACCATTTTCCTGAAGCTGGTTCAGATTATCACTCAAGGAATATAAAGAGACTCCCGTTATTCATACAGCCGTATAACCTCTGCACATCTTCTGACAACATCTTTGACAAAGCTCCATGATCTCATTGCAGCACTGCCAGTTGCAGCTTACTAAGGGTTTTCTTTAGCCGTCACACAAGGGAATGTATCCACCGTACTGTAACAGCAGTTTCCTGATTAAGCTTTCAAAAAAAAAAAAAAAAAAAAAAAAAAGGGTAGCACATGAAAATGCAAATACACACAACAGATGAGAGGCAAGTATTTAAAGCACACCATTGAAAAGAGGGCCGTAAACAGTATAAAAGCTCCGAGAACAAAAACTTGTTTCAGGTAAATTCGACACATTTTACCGCATGATACAAATTCTACAGTCTGTTAAAAAGGTTCGATTCCTTCTCATTTACACTTGATTATAATTCATTTTTATGGATTATTATAATCACTCTTGTATTGCCAAATTGAGAAAGGGCGGGCTTTTATAAATGTACATACATCCTGGTTGTCACTGACTATACAACCCACCCCCCACAAAAAAAACAAAAAACCTCACCAATTTACTACTCTAGCATACCCCAAAAAATACATCATTATAAAAACAATAGGTAATAACATGTGGGACCTAATGAATACATAATCTGTGACTACAGAACAGGTTAGCAATCCAGAGAGAGTAGCCAAAGAACGCCCAATTTGCCAAAATGCAGGTGTTGGGAGGGCTCGTATTATTCATTGGGATTTGGGTTGGCATCGGGATACTGGGAGAGGTCAAAAGTAAGCACTTTACTGATGACACAATCTCCTTGCTGTGAGTGAGAGAGAAAGAAAAGCAGTTAATACTTTAATCGTGTGGATGAATTCAACAACAGCTCAAGATACTTTGTTACTACCGGCAGGTTTCTGCTGAGACCAGGAATATGTTTTAATGTTTGAAATTAAGGGTTCCAAATACGACTTATTATGACGACTTATTCTAAATCTATAATACACAAGTTCCATAGTATTTACAGACTTATGTGAAGTTCTATTTTTTACTGTTTAATACGACATATATAATGCAATTCAATACCTTTCTCAAGGTAATACCGGTCAAAGAATAAAGGACAACTAATAGGGACAATAAGGCCTATTATTTATCAATTACATGCATTTATATCATTTATAACATATTCCCAGCAGTATATAACAATAATTTATATAAGTAATCAATTTACATGACTTAGTCCCAAATAAGTTGACACAATTGATGGATGAATTGACAATTTAAAAAATATTCTTATTCTGTTTTTGTTAATATAAGTTTTTGCCAAATTTACACTAAATTGACCTGCATGCACAATCCACTGTTGCACCAATGCTCTCCAGACCGTCCGTACCCAAATACAAAACAGTTTGACTGTCTGTTACAGACATTTTAATGAGGGAACTGAATTTAATGTTTTTTAAGACGTTTTGAAGCCAGCATATCCACTTTAACACACAAGGCTTAAAACATCATGGCTGTCCGTTATTTAGTATATTGATCTTATTGTATATTGAGAAACACACCTCTGGATAGACACCGATGAGCGAGTCTGCCTTGGTGTAGAATTCCTCTTTCAGAGAAATGACGATGGCCTGGAAGTTCAGCACCGACTGGTCTTTGATATAATTGGCCACCTTGAAGGCACAAATGGAACTTATGAGTTGTATGAAATGTGATGACATCAAATGCCGCATTGATAAAACGCTCAAGTGACTGAAACAGAGATCGTTTTACAGACCTTGCCGATGTTAGTGTTGTCCAGAGCAGCATCGATCTCATCCAGTACAAAGAAGGGAGCGGGTTTGTAGCTGGAGACAAGCAGGAAAAATGCTCTTGACAATATTCCAACTGTTTAATGTGAATAAATAAATAAATTAAACATGAAATAAAACTTTGTACTCGTCCGGTGTTTCACCTGTGAATAGCAAAGAGTAGAGCCAGGGCAGCAACAGTCTTCTCTCCTCCAGACAGGTTGTCCATGGGTCTGAACCGCTTTCCTGGAGCCACACAGTTATAGTTGATGCCATCCAGGTATGGCTCCTCAGGGTTTTCTGGGCCTAGGAAAGCCTACAGAAGAGGGACACAATCAATGTAAAACACAACCATGGTCTGTGTGTTTTACTGCCATAGCATAAGCCACATTTTGTTGTAGGGCATTTCATTTTTGTAGGTTATTGCAAAAACAAAACATGTTTGCATACCTGGGCACTGCTGTTGCGTGAGAGGGCCTTGTAGATCTCATCAATGTTGGTGGCCACAGACTCAAAGCAGTTATTGAAGCGATCGTACCTTTCCTTCTTGATCTGCTCAAAGGCTTGCTTGGCCTTCTTGGCTCTCTTACGGGCAGCCTCAAACTCTGAGGGAGAGAAAGAGAAAAAGGCATGAGATTCTCTCTCTCTCTCATTTAGTCCCACCCTCTAACATCATCCTCCCATCTCACCATCACTGGTCTCTTGGAACTTGTCCCTGACACTCTCTAGCTTCTCCATGGCCTTCATGTTGGGAGCACTGATCCTCTGAAGGATACTCTGCTGCTCGTTCAGACGCTGCTGCAGTGTGTTGGTCTCCCCCTTGATCTCCTCCTCTGACAGAGCATCCTGTAGGACAGTGGCATCATATTCAAATTCAGCTCGGTCCGGTTAGAGAAAAGGTCCGGAACATCACAATGTTAAACATTTGCTATGATTTAGTGCCATATGTATTGAAGTAGCCTAGTAGTTGTATCAAAGTCTGCATGTAGTCAACAACTGAATGTCATTTCAAATAAATAAAAAAAGTGCAATTGACTAATATCGCAACAATATTGATAGTCAGTTTTTCACATTGCCGCTTTTAATAATTGCCAATAATCAACTGTCACTGAACATAAGAGACACACTGGTTTTGAACTGACAATGGGAAGAATGAACACAACAGTCTGTCCATTCTTGGTTAAAGGCTCTGGTTTCGCCGTTCACTTTTCTCTTTTTCGAGCACGCCATGTGAAATAATACTGACTCAAGAAACCTCTCCGACTGTTTGGTCTCTTGCCCCGTCTCTCCACTGTGTGTGTGTGTATATCTCACTCAATGCTGCCGCGATGCTAATGGAAATACACATTTAATGGCAGAGACGCACCACGTCTGCGGTGGTTAAGTGGTTTAGAATAGCCGCCTTTAACTATATACATCTCTCACGTTTCCTCTTTTGTATATTTCTAAGCACTTTGTAGAGAAAAGTGCTTTATAATTATTATTATCATTACGGTCAGTTAGAAAACCAAGTAACGCAAATACAGAGAGCTGACGTCACTTTTAAATAAAAATGAGGGGAGGTGGTGAAGTTGGACCGTTTAAATATAAGGCATCTTTGCCGTGTGCACTACCTACCTTAAGGTCTTCAGTCAGGTTGCTGTAGTCAATCTCTATGAGAGCCTCTTTAGCAAGAACAGTGGTGGATGTTGTCCTCTGGCTGCTGGAATCCTCTGTCTGGGAGCTCCCCTTGATTAAAAACAAACAAAAAGAAGGGCGTCATTTTCTGTTTCTCTCCCACTAGTATGAAAGTTAGGGTGTGTGTAGGAATGTGTTTGTGTGTACCTCTCCCTGGCTGATATCATCCATTGTTCCAGAACGAAGAGGCAACCTGATGTCCTGCATTTTGCAGGCTTGAAGCAAGTTGTGACGGTCGCTGCGCTTCTGCTCCAGTTTGGTCTCAATGGCCGTCACTTCCTTCTGGAGATGAGTCAACTCCCTGGAAGACACAAAAACAACATTTGTAACTCAATTGTAATATTTATCATATAATATATCTTATCATATAGATCATAGGACATAAACAAATGTATGTGCTGTTGCAGCCACTGACTTATTGGCGCCCCCCAGTTTTTTGCGGATCTCCTCCATATCATGGTTCTTATCGTTGACTTCAGATTTCTTGGTGAGGTGCTGGTTCTTCAGGTCCTGCAGTTGTGCCATTGTCTCATCAATGATCTTCATGTGCCTGTGCTCCTCCTGCAGACAGATGACAAAGAGACACACAAGTGAGAATTAACGACACACTACATTATTATAAGTAACGTTTTTTTTGTCCTTCACTTTATGCATTTACTTTCTTCAGTCGCTCTATTTCAGCCTCGTCCTTCTTGACGGTCTGCTCCCACATCATGACTTTCTCCTGGTCCTCCTTCAGCTGATTCTTCTCGTAGTCTACCTGGATACCCAGGCGGGTCTTCTGGGTCTCAAACTCCAGACTGAAGCAACATGTTGTGTGTCAGATTAAGACGACATAGGAAACCAGCAACAGGTAAAAGAACAACGTGGCGAGACTTGATACTTGAACTCATCACTACACTCACCGCTTCTTTGCGATCTCATTCTGCCGCTTCACCTTCTCCTCCTCAAACTCTCGGATGTTCCTCACTCCAATCTCCTTACAGAACTCAATAAACACCTCATCCTCCACCTGGAAAACAAAGAAACATTTATATTGACATTACTGCAATGCTACATATTCATAGACAGGCTTCTAAATGGACCTCACTTCAGGTCAGTCTCACCAGGTTCATGCGGTCTTGCAGGTCAGTGATCTCCTTCTCACGGGACTGGATGATCCTTTTGATGTCGTTGATGCGAGGGCCAAAGTTTGCCAATTCACTCTCGAGCTTAGACTTCTCCTGCATGACACAAAT